CAAAATAATTACCGAATATCATCATCAATAGTGATCTGTCAGTTCATGACAGGTTCAGTGACCCAATCAAAATTTTATATCAAGTGTCTCTCCAAGTTCCTCGGTCTTGAGCCATCCGTTTCAGCATTTCATACCCTGTTGCTCCACATCCCAATATATCTATTTGTAATTATTGCGAAAGCAAAATAAATCATTCATGTGGCCATAGTATTTAAACAAAAAATATTACGTCATCAGAACAGCTGTGTATGCATGCAGATTCTTTTCTAATAGGAGTACCAAAATTGAAATGAATAATACGATCGCAACATATATCAAGATATATCAGCATTAATTGATTCATTTAATTGGCCTTGTCCATCACTTTTATGAAGTGGGCGAACGTAACAAGGATACATTACATGCTCTGAACCTCATTTATCTAGGCAATGGGAACTTCTTGGAATTGCCCTTGGGTTGTTTCTTGAAAGTCTTCGTGGTGGTTTCAGGCTGCTACAAATTATCTTACATTATGTGATATACCAATCCATCTGCACTTGTGTCTAGAAGAACGTAATTTATGCTGCTTGTACATCGGTTAATGAGTAGTTTTGGTTCTATATGTCGTCTAAAGGATGATAATAGCATAGATTTTAATAGGTGGTTTCCGGAAAGTGATAAGCGTCACTGATAATAACACCAGTTCTGCGCACGCGCGTCGTCAGCAGAATAAGCAAATATTGTATAAAAGGGATCTTGACTACATTGTCATGAAGGAGAGTGGCAGTCAATCATCTCAAAGCTTAAAAAGAGGAGCACCTTTGCTGTTTACGAGAAGCACAACTTACTTACCAACAAATCGTCATTATAACCGCATGGTGGTCAGACATCTCAAAACCTATCATCAGTCGAGCATCGTGGCAGTGTTCGAGTTATACAACTAAACTACAAACAAGTGTGAGTGATATTCTTATTTTTCTAATTGTTACATTCTGAAAAGTAGTTAAGCTGGCCTAATGGGTTTTGAAAGATTCCTATCAAAACTAGAAGATAGAAAACCCGGCTTAAATAGGTAACATGTCATTCCATTTTTGGTCGTGCTTTAAATGAAGTATTAACAGGAATTGAAAGCTAAAGTGTGATATGCATAGCATTCTTTGTTTCGGCCTGCCCATGAAGTTTATCTTTTTTCATTTTAATTGTTGCTGCCTTTTAATGTTTTCGTATATGTGGATGTACTTATATATATTCGGTGAACGGAAAACGACCCTTTCAACTAAAATAATATCGAGGTACTTCCAAACTTTATAAACAGTAGTTGGATAGTGTTGTTTTCCTATACAGTGCGTCCCAGAAAAAACAAAACCGAGAACTATCGATATGTTATCATAAATTAATCACAATTATAATTAATAAATGACACATATTTGTAAAGCTTATATCCTCCTCTTTCATTGCACAGGGTTCTTTATTTTCAAAACAAAATCCATCATATACAGTATAATTATTCATATATTATATACAAATAATTAAAGAAATAATTTCCATACTTAAAGGCTTAACACAGATAATAATCATCACGGCCGAAAACTTTGTGGCAGATAAAAACAAACATTTATGACAAAATAAGTATTTTAAATATATATAAACAAATACCGAAAATAAAATACATGATCATGTTTGTGTTAGCACATTTCCAACACTTTCAAAATATTTTCTAAAGTGAAACCATTTCTTTTTCAATTTATTCTCTCTGAGATTTGTTTGGTATATATATATTTTTCAATTTCATAACAACGTTTTACAGCTGATAAAATTATATTAAAATGAAGGTAGTTGATTTCGTAATTTAGCCGAAAATATTTTTTGTCTCAACCATAAGAACACAGTTGAGTGCATTATTATTGCTACCGCAAAATCCAAACAATTTATTTTAATTTGTAAGTTTGATCCTTTCCCCCGTATTGCGAAATATCCAGACTCTTACTTCAACCATATTTCATTAGAATAGTTACAAAAGCCAAAAACTTGATGATAGTATCATCATTGCTATTACAAAAAGTACACTTCTTGTCAGCCACTACACCAAATCTTAACAAACTATCCTTCATATATAATATTATATTTAAAATCTTGATTTTAAACCACCTCATGTTGATATCTATTGTTGACTGAAATAAAATTAGACAGTACGAACCCCAAAGTGCATCTTGAAAATCTAAACAAGTTTTCCACTTTGTAAGAGCTTTACATTCTTTTACTTTTTTTTAAAGAAAAGACTGATAAATATGTGAACAACCAACTTTTGTTTTTCACCACAAAGTGCACGGCTTCGGGAATGATAGGTTCTAAGGCCTTACTAGGAGCTACATGTGTATTAATTTTAAAACCTGACCAAATTGCATTACAGAGACCATAGTACTGGAGGAAATTTGTTTGTATGTCAAATCTCCGCTGAAACTCAAAATATGAAAAAAGAGCCATCTATTTTTAGGATGTCGTTCACAAAACGTATTCCTTGTAAATTCCAAGCCCCAAAACATACCACTTTGTCATTAATTTCAATTTGGGGGTTATTCCAGAGAGATTGACATGCAATGTCTTCAATAAAAAGTTCGACGAAGTCTGACCAAGCGAAAAGGACCTCTTTCCAAAATGGATTTGGAGTCAAGTCTGCTAATTTTCTAAAATAATGTGAATATGGTGATAAAATAGATTTTGGGGCAAGAATGAATTGAACATGTGAAAAGTGAAACTTTCTATATGAGAATCAGATACAAATCTTCTAATCCATGATATCTTCAATGATTTAGCATGAATGTAAATATCAATCATCTTAACCCCACCTGTATTATATAGTTGACCCATTTGTTCTCTACTGATTTTATCAAGTTTGTTACCCCATATAAATGCATAAAAAAAAAACGATTTATATCTTTCATAATTTGCGAACTCGGTTCTTGAAGAGAAAGCAATAAATAGTTCAATTCTGGCACCAACAAAGATTTGACTACAGTTATTCTTCCGAGGACAGTAAAGGTTCGTTTAGACAATGAAATAATTTGGCGTTTTATATCTTTAATTTTTTTCGGTATAACTATCATTCACCATCTTTACTAAGTTAACCGAAAAACCTATTCCTAAGTATTTCGAATAACCTTCTGATACCCAATTTAATTTGTGCTCTGGCATTAGCTGTTTTTGCAGGCTCTAGTTTTCCCAATCCATATCATATGAGTTTTTGTAAAATTTATCTTTAGGTTTGACATTTTTTCAAAATCTCCCAATATTTTCAGTGAGCTCTGTAAATCTTCTTTTGTATCGTTAAGTGTCAAAATGGTGTCATCTGCGTATTGTAGTAGTTTACTATTTTTTCCCTGTAGATGCAAGCCAATTAAATTATTGGAATGTCGAATCAAAATTCCTAATATTTCGCTGACAAGTAAAAACAGTAATGGAGATAATGGGTCTCCTTGACGACACCCTTGTCCTATAGTAAATCTCTCTGTACAAAAATCATTTACTGTGACACAAGAAGATGCATTTTGATAAAAATAGTTGAATCCATTTTTTCAGCGATGGCCCAAATGAAAAAAAGTCAGGACATTGATTAGAAACTTGTGAGATATACAATCGAAGGCCTTTTCAAAATCAATCATCAACATGCCTGGAATGTCATTATGATCGGTATGTAATAATATATCATAAAGTAAACGAATATCTTCTCCGATAAAACGGCCTTTCAAAAATCCTTTTTGACTCTCATGTATCAAGTGGGGCAATACTTGCTTTAATCGATTAGCGATGCACCCAGATGCTCTTTTGTATATAACATTTAAAAGTAAAATAGGACGCCAATTCTTTAATAAATTTCGAGGCTTGTTTCTTTCAGGAATTAAAGTGATTATTCCTGTTGTTGTTTTTTGTTGTAATGGCAATCAGTCAAGACCTGACTATTATCACCAACGCCTTTCTTTTTAATATTAATTTCTTTCTTTCTCTTTTTTTTAAAATAGAGTATAGAGTGATTTTTCCTTATTTGATGCAACTCATATGATATGTATTTTACGCATGGGTGATTTGGCGAACGGTATCTGAATTTCAAAGAGAAAAATCACATTTTTAGAAGTTTCATTTTCTACCCTTTCATACGACAAAATGACCCCATGGATTATGGTAATTTTGCTTTATATCTCGAACTTACAGGAATAGAGGACATTCCAAACAGGGATCAATCACAAAAATACTATGTTAAGGGGCACGGTAACAATGCCGAAAGGGGACAAGTTTTATTCATTGCCAATTTGATCCAAATGTGGGGAGGGGTGGTTGCACGGGCTTAAATTAGCCACTTATAATCCAAAAGAAGACCAATGAATTTACGGGAGAAAGTCGGGAAATCATGGGGTACTTTTGAGAGTGTGTTGATCCCTAATTACAAATCATGGGGAACGCCCCTACCCCAGGATTTCTGTCCAGGATGCTAATGGGTATAACAGGCCATTTACATTGTATGGTAGAGCTACGTGCATCTAAGCCCTCATGCACTAGCTTGGACCTTTCAAAAGTACTTCTGCAATCATCAGAATAATTCCCTGTTTCTATTATTGAGAACTTAGCTTCACTATTCCTTTACTGGAGACATTTTTATTTTTCTTTAGAAATATTAATGAGAAAACTACAATTGGCCATGTTTGATTACCTCGAATTTTCCTGCAATGGAATGATTGGGGCATCAGTCATATTCTGAAAATGAAATGAAAATAATGATGATGGCGATGATATTGATAACGGTTCGCATCAAAAACATGGAGCCATATTTCGCTCAAAATACATGAAAAAGTAAAGGCTTTTCAAATGCTGAATTAGAAAAGTTTCTATGTTTCTAATAAAATATGTACAACTCTTCATCTTTCCAGATCGAGTCAAAATCAACTCCGGTTAAAGGAAGTCATTCGGTAAAAGGAATTAAGATGTTTAAGAGAACCAGCCTAGTTGTGCTCGCCTTGCTTAAAGTCGCAATGTTCTTAATAAGTGTCGTAGCTGACCACACTGACAGACCACCAATGAACACCAATCCTAACTTGGGTCACGACGCGATCACACGGACACTAGCCTCGGATGTTTCTGATGGTTTTACCATATTTACTGTAGCTAACCCATTGGACAGTGGCTCCATTGAATACTTTTCCTCGACCAGGGGTGCGACGCAGCTGATCACGACAGGAGAGTGGGAATGGTGGAGTAATTACGAATCTACAACGGTTCCTACACATTTGCTGACCACACTTCAGGGAGGATCGGGAGAGCATAGCGCAGACAGCAGCGCTTTTTCTTGGTATCCGATCAGTTGGTCATGGGTACTCATTCTCCAGCTCATCTCTGCATTCGTTGGCATTGTCGGAAACTTCCTGGTGATCATTGTCCTCTTTCAGCGTCGACGATTGAGCAGATCGACGGATACCTTGATCGGCGGCCTAGCCTGTGCGGACTTACTAACTTCGGCGTTCCTCATACGAATCCCTTTGCCTGCGTACATTCCTAAGACTTGGTTAGGTGAAGTCTACTGCAAACTTATCAAAACGCAAAGCCTACTCTGGGTATCTGTCACGGCCTCTACCTACCTGCTCATGTCTATATCTGTCGAACGGTACATCGCTGTGGTTTACCCTCTTCACTTCAAACGCCTCATCACTCGACGTCGTGTCTCGATCTTCATCATCATCGTTTGGTTCCTTTCCGTCTTGTCCGGACTCTTCGCTTTCATCGTCTACGGTGTAGACGCAAAGAACCAGTGCACCGAGCAGTACACATTCGCCAATGCGCAAACCATCATTGCCTACTACTGGTTTTGCCTCCGACTCGCTGTCCCTTGCCTAACCATGCTCGTCACCCAGATCCTCATTGCGCGCAATCTCAGTCAACAATTCCGCAGCTTCAGAGACATCACTCATGCTACAACCCCGACAAATGGAAACAAGGCATCGTCATTCCATATCGTGGCCAGAAACCGCGTTCTGAAACTAATGCTGACCGTTATCATCATCTACATCGTATGCTGGACGCCGAACCAGATTGCCTACCTCGGTTACAGCCTCGGCTGGGTTCCTATATCCTATCTGAACAGCCCCCTCCATCGGATGCTCACCGTGCTTGGTTTCTACAACTCTTGCGCCAATCCCATCATCTATGCGGCAAGGTATCCTGAATTCAGAAATGCTCTCAAGGACATGTTCACCTGCAAATCTGCCAAAAATGCCCCGCTCTTTGATAAGATGGACATGTCAAAGAATATTTCGACATCAAAAACTGACATTTACAGTGTTTGAGAATTGCCATCGGGTCATTAAAATTGAAAAAATTCGAAAGATTTTATGATTAACTTGTTTAAATGAGATACCTTTTTTAAAAGTTAGATTAAGCGGTTTGCTCTTTAAAAGATAACTTTCGTGTATGTCAAAGATATTTCTGTCATGTATGCAGGAAACAAGCAGGTACAAGTACATTTATCGTATGTAGGATATAAAGCGTTTAAAGGTAAAGATCAGTTTTGGAAACGCCCCCCTCTCAAAAAATAAAATGGAAGCTCTTATTACCAATCATGTGAAAGAATATGTTTTGACTTATACGTGATCATACAAATTATGCCGAGAAGCCGCCTTCTAATTGATATATTTGGTAAATTAGTATATATATATTTGGACCTGATAGATATCGCGCACGTGTCGCGCATGTGTCGCGTAGTCCAATATACATCTTTCTGTGTACAGTGCTTGTAACCTAAGGCTGGGCCAAATTTCTTATTATTTTGATGATTCCCGAACCTTGCAGTACACACCAATACCAATGCTAGAGGATCAACATTTTTATCTCGATTCCACAACGTTTCTTTCACAATGCAATCGCATGACCAGAACTGATCTTTATCTTTAAAGTACAGTTATCTGTAACATCTAACATTTTCACATCTTTACATATATCTAGCAACACCAAAAGATTTTCATGCTCATGTCTTTTTTAGATATATCAATTTGCAATTATGGAAAGATTAGGAATGATAAAAAGTTTGGTAATTACGTTTACTGAATATAACCATAGAGTTTCGAAAAACGAATATGCACAGAATTTATGTACATAGGCACAAAGGGAATCACATTGCACTATTTTTAAGTACGCTGTTAATGATGTAATTGCATAATGATATTGAATCTTTTAAAAAGTACATTTTTTTATTGTAAATTCATCATCTTAAATATATTTGAGTAGGCCTATATAAATTTGTAGTTACATAGGAGGAAGCACAATTAATCATCCATTTGCTTATTATATATTAAATAAATATTAATATGACTGCATACAGTTTTTGAAACTCGGAGAACCATCCCGACTAGCACTCGTGCTAACTTTTCGTTCTCCCTTTAACAACATTTTAAGTTTTTAAGTTTAAGATATCCTTTATTTGAATCACTTAACGTTTAAAGGTCGATCATTGATTAGTGAAATAAAAGGCTAACTGTTCAAGTAATAGGGTCTACATTACATAATAAAGAGATGATTCGAAAAATGTAATTATTCATCATTGTTTTAAACATACAATACTTGATATAAAAACCGACTTGAAAATATAGAAATTACAATTATCAAAATTGCATTTATTAAATTATATCTCTAAAAATTACTCTCTTTTTTCTCAAAATAAAATTCTTAAAAACTACATTTTATCAAAGTTTTATTTATTAAAATCATATTTATCAAAACTATATTCATAAAACTACATACAAATTCAAATAGAGGTTTAGGATGACTAGACCTATATAAGGAGGTCGGAATTCCTATTTAGTAATCTAACAATTGATGGAATACTAGAATTGTAATATCTTGTGGTCCTGCATTTTGGTTCATTGAGAAGATGTGAGTTGCGTAACTGCCTTCCAGACAGTGATCGTCGGGACTTTGGAAGAAAGTCACGATGGCGAGCTGGCGTGAGAAGGTCATGTGCGAAAAAGAGGAGAAGACCTTCTCGTCATGAGTGGAGAGAATCAAGACGGAGGTGATCCAAAGCACCGCGGTAGGAGTCATACCCTCCAAGGATGACTCGACAGACCCTTTTCTGCACACATTCAATGCCATTGGATTGAGCAGTGGTCAGTGACGAGGACCAGACAGGTCTGACGTACCAAATCAGAGATCGGGAGTCTACATTTTCTGAGGCGATATACGATGTAGAGACGTCTGCTAGCCTTCGAAACCATAGCTGAAACATTGGTGTCCCACTTTAAGTCGGCTTGAAGACGGACACCAAGTAACGTGAAGTGGTCGACCACGGATAAGCTGGTATCAGCGACTTGGAGTTTAGGAAACTGCACTTGCTTTATGAACGAGATATTCATGACACAACATTTAGTAGAGTTGGGCTTCATGTCATTCGACTCACACCACCGGACAAGACTATCAAGTTGAAGTTGGACAGTAGAGGGCTCATTCGCTCGGCGGATTTCTACTACACTGAGGTGATCCACATATTTCCACCTGTGCTTAAATTCACTCAACGCATCATTAATCATGACAGGAAAGATCACGGGATCTCATTTCGTTCCCTGGGGGACTCCGCATGTAACTCCCAGATCACAAGATATGCTTGAACCAACTCTAAAGCTATGTAGGCGAGCGGCGAGTTTTTAGCGAATTTCGCCCGGGCACCGCTTGTTTTTAGGGCATCGCTCCTTCGCTGCTGAAGTTTTAGCGCGGAGTTAAAATATGAGCGGCGCCTGCTCACGTTCACTCACCGCCCAAAGTACGCTCGGTGCCAGGGCGGTCACCGCCCGGGCACCGATCTAATCGAGCGTTCGCCGTCAAGCGATTTAAGTCAAAAATCGAAGACGCTAGGTCCAAGGCTGCCGAGCAGTACCGCCTGGTCGCCGGCCGGTCGCCGCGGGGAGATCAGTCGGTCACTGGGCGGCGAGTCCAAAATCGGTCGGCAGCCTTTAACCTAGCGGCTTCGATTGATGACCTAAATAGCTCGACTGCGAACGCTCAAATAGGTCGGTGCCCGGGCGACGAACGCCCGGGCACCGAGCGTATGTTGGCGCCCCGCCGATCACCGGCCGGCCGCCGGGCAATTTAATTAAAATTAGCCGGTGGCTGGTGGGAGACCGCTCGGGAATTGGTGGGTCATCTGTTGGTCACTGCCAGCACGCCCCCCAGAGAAGCTCTCCGATTTCGCGCAGTTTCTACCTAAAATCGACCAGCGACCGACGGGAAATCGACAAGGTACCGCCCAGGCATCGCTGGGGCTTTTCAGCCTGCTCGAGTTCTCCAAAAAAATCATTGGGCGATGCTTAAATTCCAGCGGTGACCGCGCAGGCTACTAATCGGTCGGTCGCCGTTCTGATTTGTGACCATAGCTTAACTGCCTGTTTGCGCTCATTCAAAAAACTACAAATCGCTGGTACCAGTGCAGGTTGTACTCTGCAGTTGATTAACTTTCCAATGACAACATTGTGATTCACGTAATATCAAACGCCTTTGTGAATTCCATCGCGCACAAAGATGCACAGTGGCCAGGTCTGTCTAGATTCTTTCCGATTGAGTCAAGAAGGCTGATGAGGTAATGTGACGTGGAGCTGCCAACAACATTACAAAACTGCTTCTGGTCAATAACAGGTGAGAGGTCGCAAGTAACCCATCTACAGATGAATATTTCCATCACGCTTGATAATATTGCAGTGATGGAGATGAGACGTAAGTCTGATAGTTGTGAAACTTGCTGTTTCTTCGGAATAGTGATAAGTGATAACTGCTCGTTTCCGACTCGAAGGATTAGTTCCCAGTGTGAAGAATTGCATTGAATATCACCGAGAGGGGTTCCGAGAGTTCCATTGCAAACTCCTTGATAAGTTTGATTGGAATATCGCCCGGTGCCGCTGCCTTGGATGCCTTCAGCCGACGTAAGACGTTATACACTTGATGGGCATGAATGATCGGTGGTGGTAAGGGTGGAAAATAAGATGGTAGAGATACCCAGGCCAATGATGGGAGCTGGTTACAGATTTTAGCGAAGTGTTCATTCACCCCGGGCAGCTTTCTGCGAGTCGTTATGCCCAAGGCAGGGTGGAAGGCTAAGTGAAGACTTGGTAACTCCAGCCATGCTACGAATTTGCCGATGCCATTGGGAAGGTTCACTTTGTTTCAACATTTGAACCTTCCGAGGGTAGAAAGATGCCTAGTTTTTTGCTATCTCTCACTGGACTAGATTCCTTACAGCACGAAACCCGTGCCGTCATGATTTTGGCCCTTTAATATTAAATTCGGGAAAAAATGAAAAAACAGGAATGCGATTGATAACACTCCATTTTTCATCTAAGTATCAACAAAAATGCACAACTAGTATAGTACGATCGTAATAAACACATGTGTGCCATTTTAAGTGCCTCTTGAACTGAACTTATAATATTTATGAACAAAAGATAACATATAGTACTCATGACTCAAACATGCAATCCTAAAATAACAAATGCCATTTTACATCATGCGCGTACACAAACACCGAGGGAAAAGGGTATTGCTGTTGGAGGTGGAACGTGGGGGTCTCATTTAGGGCATAAAAAACAACCCCATTTTTAAAGAACAAAAAGATGTATGTAAATCACAAATCGCGTCATTAAAAGGGTACATGCATGTAATTACCGAGTATTCCATATCTATTTATTTCATAAGAGGATCTAGACTATAGGAGAGAGGCAGTCAAACATCTCAAATCTTAAAAGGAGGAGCACATTTGCCGTTTTTGAGGAGCACAAGTTATTTACACACATACTGTCGTTATAGTCGCATTCTTGTCAGACATCTTAAGACTTATCAAGATATTAAGAAGGAGCATCGTAGCAGTCTTCGAATAACACAACTTAACAACAAACACGTGTGAGTGATATTCTTAGTTTTTTTTTAATTTGGAAATTCAGGCGTTTTAAAGATTCCTATGACCGATAACTGGAAGATAGTAAACCCAATATATCTTCTTATTTTCCTATGTACACACACCACGAACAGATGCACAGAGCATCGTAGTAAAATGCAACCCCTATACAAATTGATCTGGATTAAATCATGCCTGTTCGATGAACTGTATGCTTCAGTGCTCTTATAATACCATTCATAACCGACAAATATATTCTTTCGCTTATACGCTTAATTTCTGAATTTTGAAAATGTGTCATGCAAACATTTAATACCGAAGTTGTCAATGGAACATGTAGGATTCTATTCATGTCTATCCCGGCCCCCCCCCCCCCCCCCCCCACTCAGGTTTCGGAATGACCGCATGCGTGTT